TGGGGAGGGGAAGGGGGGGATTTATATTGTAAAATTTTATAAAATTTTCAATAAAAAAAAAGATAAGGGATTGCCTCCCCTTCAACTCCCAATTGCTTATTCACCCCATCTCTGCCATTTTTGGTTGCCCAACACCCCTTAGGGGAAGCAAGCAGCCCCAAAACCCACCTGGCTCAGGGGCTGCTTGCCTCACTGAGGCCCAGGAGCTTCTTGGCAAATTATAGCTTTGGAGCAACAAGAAGCCTCAAAGCCGCAGTGCAATGTGAAGCTGCAGCTGTTCTAGGAAGCCCTGGCTACCCCAGCCCAGCCAAGGACCATAAGTGCAAAAACTCCGACGCAGCCCCCCTTGACACCCTGCACTCCGAGGCTCGTGCCTCCCCAGCTGATCTTCACCATTCTCTTGTTCCCATTGCTGACCAAGCACACCCAGTCTGGACCTTTGCAGAACGAACGTTTGTAACTCAAGGACTACCTGTACACAAAACAGAAGAGGCCTTGTACGTTGACGGTCAGTGTCTGACAGGCTCGATGAGGGCTAATAAGGTGAACTGGCCAGAAACACATTTTCCCTTCTTTTTTGGAACATACCCTGTTGCCATTCCATGAAAGGAACAGCTGAGACTCAGGGATGCTTCAATTGCTAAGGAGTGTAGGTGAGACCACTCTTAAGTATGGTCTAGAACAGGGGTCTTTAAACTTCGCCCTTTTATGACTGGTGGACTTCAACTCCCAGAATTCCTCAGCCAGGCACGCTGGCTGAGGAATTCTGGGAGTTGAAGTCCACCAGTCATAAAAGGGCCAAATTTGAAGACCCCTAGTCTAGAAGTTAAAATTACGCATAGTCCTCGCGTTACGACCACAATTGAGCCCAACTTTTCAGTTGCTGTGGGACATTTACTGAGTTTTTGCCCTCATTTTTCAACCTTTCTTGCCACAGTTGTCAAGTGAACCACTGCAGTGGTTAATTAAGTAAATAACATGATTATTTAAGTGAATCTGGCTTCCCCATTGACTTTGCTTGTCAGACGTTCGCAAAAGGAGATCCCATGATCCTGGGACACCACGACCATCATAAATATGAGTCAGCTGCCAAGCATCTGAATGTTGATCATGCGACCGTGGGGATGTTGCAACAGTTGTAAGTGTGAAAAAGTGGTCATAAGTCACTTTTTCCAGTGCCGTTGTAACTTCAAACAGTCATTAAACAAACTGTTGTAAGTTGAGGACTATCTGTAGTGCAATGAGAAATAGCAAGAATACTGGTTTGTGAAATTCAGCCATTGCCACAAACATGTCTCCTGAAAATACTGTGCTGCCTGTTCATTTGGAAATGGGCAGGCTTCAAATTTTGATATTAATCTGTACAACCTTAAATAACTAGAAATTAGAATACTTGGAATGGAAACCTGTCCAAGCACTGTAATCATTACTACAGGCAATTCTGGTTGTGCCAGATTCTACAGGCTTTTTTAACATCAATAATTGGTAATAGCACCCAACAAAGTTTAAATTAACAGGCCAATTCTGAAGGGGACTGAAATGCACAATGCAGAGTTTTCATATCCTTAGAAAGTGGTTTTAAATAACCTAGTTCTAAACGTCCTCTAATAATGTATTATGCAAGGGATTAATCAGTCTGCTTTAAATCTCTTTGTATTACGTGTTACTTCCAAAAGTTTCAACTCTGGTTTTGTTTATTCAGAACAACATACCTCTACAGA